GAATTTAAATAGTAATAACAATAACAGTAGTAGAAGTAATATAGTTTAACTAGACCAGATGGTTGTCTTTTTGAACAAAGCATTTTACTCGATATCAGAATTGCATCCTCACTCTTTTGGTCATATCCTTTACAAGAGCAATCCTTGCATCATTGCGTATTGTGGTACTTCCTAGTCCGTGCTTGCTGGAAGACTTCAGTTCGTCACTAATTTTGGCTACGATAAGTAAATCTAATAATAAAAGTAATTTTGAAGTCAACATTATCTTAACTCCTTCGATCACATGCTACCAAGCATCCAAACAGTGTGTTGTACTTCCGGTTATGTCGCCGTTTCCGTTTGACTTCAGAAGTGGATGCATTACCAACCAGTCAGACGAAAGCTTAGCACAGCTTCAGCGCGGGCGCAGTACCCTTGGCCGAGGATGTCTTAATAGAATCCCACAGTCATCTCTACGCGACAATGTTGCTTCAGTTTTCGGAGAGAACATTTCACAAATTTCTTTCAATCTACTTTCCCCTGAAAGTCATGGAGAGTCATTTCACAACATTCTCTCAGACTACCCTGTTCATGATGCTATTTGGTGTTGCGTTGGCTTGCTACTCATTCTGGGGTTGGACATTCTTCAAATTCCCCACCCAACCAATCAGCTTAACCTACACTTCTGTAGGACAGGCAGAAAGACAGGTAGGTAGGTAGGTAGGTAGGCGGGTAGGCACAGAAAGAGAGAGAAAATTGTTTTGACTTGGTGACTAGGCAACTCGGGATTTTTACTCAAATGGACGTATCATATGGACCTGAAATGCATCGGCCGGAGTGCTTTGTCAAGCGGTGGTGTCACAATTCCGAAGTGGAAAGTCGGAGTCTATAGGAAAGCGGAAGGAGGCGTCTTTTGGCTCGAGCTATTCGTGCTTAAGTATACTTTTGCTAGTTTTGTTTCGCAGTTGTCAGGTTACTAATCGTCTTCAAGGGGAACCAATTTCGACTCGTTTCTGTGCATGATCAGCTTTCTTTTGTACAGCTTCAGTCCCGCAGAGCGTCAAAATTGCACTTCTGAATGCACAGCGAAGTGGAATTTCTTGATAAGATGATTTTTCGTTGGTATGAAATTGAACAATGCATAGATTTGTAGATGGGTCTAGTCAGAAGAGGAAGATGAATTTGATTTGGACCAGTGTAGAAGCGATCTGACTTCATTTTCACAAATCGGTCGTGTTGTCAAGGCGACTTTGTTGAATGTCGTTCTCAGCACTGACGATCCTGGCGAAACGTCTGAGAATATACCAAATCCGCGGTCGAACTCTGGGAATTATCATACCTACTTTAGCAGAGGACTTCAGACAAGATTCTTTTGACAAAGTCACCCTGACAACACGACCAATTTGTCAAAATGGGGTCAGACCGCTTCTACACGGACCCAAATTCAATTCGTCTTCCCCTTCTGACTAGATCCATCTACAACTCTATGCATTGTTCAGTTTCATACTAAATGAAAGTGATCTTATCAAGGAATTCCACTTCGCTGTGCATTCAGAAGTGCAATTTTGAGGCTCTGCGGGACTGAAGCCGTACAAGAGAAAGGGAATCGTGCACAGAAACGAGTCGAAATTGGTCCCTCTTGAAGACAATCAGGAACCTGACAAAACTAGCGAAAGTATACTTAAGCACGAATAGCTCGAGCCAAAAGACGCTTCGTTGGTATTGGTCGCCCTGAAAATACGACCACGTTGTGAAAACGAGATCAGACCACTTTTATGCATAGAAAGGAGACTGCGATCAAGACCTTCCTGGAAGATAATCCAAGAGATACCCTATTTTTGGTATAAGTAGCAAGAATTCTTTTATAGTCTCTTTGTCAGCCTGGTTCTCTTGAAGGGATCTAATGACGGAGAGCCGAGTTTTGCTATAATTTGATTATTTGGTCTGATGAGAAATCGTTTGAAGAGTCAGAGCTGTGTGAAATTCAATGGAATCATGGAGCCTGCAGAGTGTGTTTTGGGAAAACTCAACTATCAGTCTTTAAATCAGCTTAACTGAACTTGGATGACTAAGCTTTTATTCGAGAAAACCTGATAGAAATTGTCATAGCTCGAACCTGAACCTGCTCCTGCTCTAAGTCAATACATGAGAGGAGAAGGTTAGTTTGCTTTATTTGATGTAAAATTGAATAGGTTTCGGCTCAGATGATGTCAGTTTGATGAACATTTTGCTAAAACGGATCCAGCTAGAAATGTGGATGTCTCAAGGAGTTGATCAACGTGAGCGTCCCAGGCCAAGTAAGCCAAAGCCTCCATCGTCATCTTCTGGCGAGATTGACCTGAGAATCGCTGCATCGCACAATTTCACCCAAATTGAAAGTCACCTCATCACACAATTTCACCTCATCAGACACAGCGAAAGCCGGGATCTATGCTCTATGTGATTCAAAGCATGAAGCAGCGGATCCTCGTAGACAGACTCGTTTTAGCGCGCTACAAAAGACAGTCGAACCTGATTCATTTAGAAAAGAATCAGCTTCGAATCCCAACGCACCCCTGCCAATGCATAAAGGCACGCCTTTTTCTATCCAAAAGTGCTGAAAAATAAGTACCGATGTTGACGTTTCATTTTTGAGCGAGTGCTCTCTTCCCATCGCAACTGAACTCTTGTTTACAGCCTTCCCCAACACACACACCATCGGCGATTCTATAACTTCGAAAAGGCACAGTAGCTATTACGACGTTGCTGACGAACAGCCTTGGCATGTACCAAGTCAGCACGAGGCAGAAACGAGGCCAGACAACCCTAAACCCGTGGCGTTTCGTTTAGAGTTGAAGTTTAATTTGTTTGTATGTTTGGTACAGCTCGATCGAATGATACTGCTAATGTTATCACATAAAAATTGAGTGGTCACCATACTTAAGCGAATGTTCCGATAGTTTTGACGTCATGGTTACTTTCATTTTAGGACTCCCCAAATGGCAAATTAAGGATGTTCTGGCGAATGAGAGAGAATTCAGTGCCACCAACGGGGAGTGTGTTTTGGACGATAAGATAACCCCAATTACTACTACCACTATTAATACTACTATTACTACTGCCCAAATTTTTAATTCAATTTCATCATGATTTGTCTAGTGGGCGAATATTTCACAAAAAAATTGCACTGCAATTTTGTCCATTCCAAAATGACATCAACAAACTCGGCTGGACTTGAAGCCTAAACTAAAAGCTTTAGTGTCGAGCAAATCTCTTTTAAATAAAACGGCTCCTGTGCCCATGCAAAGAGGGAGAAGTAATGCAAAAGCGTAAAATTCGTGTCTATGATGCAGACACAGAAGTGAGACGATCATATGCCCACTCCTCAATTCACCGTAGCTGATACCGAATTATAAGGAGTATTTGTATGAAAAATATTTGTGAATCCAATATTCACAGTGAGTAGATCTCGATGTTATCAGTCTGGGTCTCATTAGATGATGAAGGACGGACGTCCGATAGTGTTGAATCTTACTTATAGGGAATATAAGTAGTTTAGTCTATTGTTATTGCACATAAAACATTGCATTTTCGAAAATCCTACCATAAAATGTGATCTGGGAGAAGCCTGGCTTGCCTCAATATTCACATCTGTCCTGACACACACTAGACTTCGTAGCGATGTGGTGTAGTGGCCAGGTTCGATTCCCAACGGTGAGACGAGGTCATTGTGGAAAAGATAAACTGCCCACCCTTCATCGCCTTATTCGGCCTAGGGGGACTACGACACAAGTGGGAATCTAGTTGGTTATAAATAATAAGCGATTTTTGGGAAAACATCTTGGGCAGAAAGGCTATGTGAAATTCAATGGGAGTGTGTGGCAAAACACTTGATTATGTTGGCGAAACCCACTTTTTGCGTTTAGCCCATTTTAGGGTAACATAATGTGCTTAGATTGTAATTTAAAGATCACTGATTGTTGGCATATCCTGCTTCTGGTGAACATATAGTGCCGTTTGCATCCCACCCGAATTTGTGAATACTCTGCCTGGATTAATTAATTTCGCCCTCATTCACTTTAACAATTTGACGCTTTAGTGAATATAAGAAGTCGAAATTGGTCTAAATAAGTCTACTAATGTGTTTTTGTTGGGTTATTTCTTACTCTGAGTGAGCACATGCGATTTACATACAGTCTGTATTGACCAAAACAGGATAGCAGATTTCTTCCCTTCTATCGTTGCCGATAAACTGCAAACACAAGCAGATCTAGGGGAATAAGCCGTCATCTTCCAGTTAAATCGGCCCTCGAATTGCTTGATCACACGTTCTCATACCAAATGGAAGCCAATGCTTCGTTTTTCCTGTGCGATTTCGATAATTTTATGTGAAATATCTACTCGCAATCGTCTCAGACATCGTAGGCTTTACCAATTTGGTTGATAAAGATTCTATTTCCATGCTAGTGAACGAAAGTTTTGATTTAGCACTTAAATTCGCTGTACTATTCAAGACTTTCCTTCACCTCGGAGTGGCTAAAATCCTTGTCATTCCATGCATCACCACACGGAAATACTACATCTTGACGACTACCATCTTGGATCCCACCAGACCTGGCTGTCTGGAGTCTGCATGTCTCAAAGTGAATTCCTCCGAAGAACATGTTGCCAACAAGTGGCGCGAACCGGTTCATTTTAAGGTTCATATCTACAAAGCTGGCTTTGGATGCTGGTGTTGTTCTTTGCTTACTTCTATACTCCAACTGAGCATAAAGCAAACACTAGACACAATGTGCCGTCGTATCAACAAACAGACAAAGTTTTCAGCACAAGTTTGTTCCAATTTATGTGTGCGTTGACAATTCTGAGGCCGATCCATTCTTTGGCGTTGTTGGCCGACTTTATATCCTACCATTGTTTGAGACATCTCGGACTGAGTGCACAATTTTTCGACTTTAATGACTACATCATCATAGACGGATAGATCAGCCTTTTTGGGACCTTCTCCCAACCGGTTCTCGGAATACCATTCAACCCTGTTCATGCACCATATTGCCTGACATTAATTGTTTTAATCACTCCTTCATACCTCCTTTCCTATGCATCAGTTCATGTGTGCATGTATAAACTCTCTTTTACCAATTTGGCTTGATCAACAGAAAGTCGACGTAACAAATAAGTATGCTTCAAAACAACGGATAAATTTCGAATAAAAATTGTTTTTTTTGGGAAAATCATCCACTTACGAGCTAATGACGAGCACACCAGAAACTGTGATTTTGAAGAAGCTTATCGCACCGGGAAAGTCACATCTGCCCTGCCAAACATTGGCAACCGTTGCTGTGTGGGGGGGGATTAAGTCAACTTTCATCATGTTAACACTGCTGTTCTGGTTGTGAGGCCGTATAATCACTATTGTCGTGACAACCTCAACATTCACACCTTCCATCTCCTTATGCTGCTGCATAAACACAATTAGGCAGACATCCTGTCTTGCGTCCTTACGCAACCAGCGATGGGGTGGCATCGAAAGAGAGGTGTACAGTCAGTCAAGCCGAGCCGAAATGAGATGGCTTTTTGGAAAGCAAGTCTTAATAAGATTCGACGACATCCTGAAGTCTAGTCGTTTGATTTTGTAGAAAAATTCATTTTTTAGTCCTTAAATTGCATCAAACGACCTAGATTGACTAAGCTTTGTCCTAGAATTATTGCTAGATTCTAAAACTACTTATAAGGAAAATGAGTAACTATACTAGGCGAGGTAGAAGCTGGGGCTTGGCCCAGCAAGGATGAGTTAACCTTTTTGGAGGCAAGGCTATGCAGGTTTGATGTCATCCTGAGGTCTAGCCATCTGATTGTATGGGAAAAGTCAACTTTTAGTCCTTAAATTGCCTTACACGACCTAAGCTAACCAAGTTTTGGGGCAAGAATTGTTGATTATTTTTCATTTGCAAGTTTGTTTTATATATATATATATATATATATATATGAGATGTGTTCACCCTATTTCACTTAAGGTGATAAAAGGACCGATGGTTTAATTTTTTTCATACTTATATGAGAAGACTTTGCGTTTTCATTGAAATTCACGTGGTCTTGCTTCTCGTAAGGTATTCTCATCCAGGCCGGAATGAACTTTATCTTCGACCTCGCCCGGGTCATCTCAGCACCTCCAATGACACTCGAACCGTGATTGTACAGTGAAGGACCTAGACATGTCATTCCCTACGCCAGTCAGACACGAGTTCTGTTGCGTCACAGAGAAAAAGGGAATTTCGATGAAGCTTAAGTCTTCCCCATATCATATTTCTGAGGTGGGATCGGCGATGAAGCAAAATTGAATTCGCTATAACAAACGACTAGATTGCTTATTTTTCGTTTATCACCTTAACGAAATAGGTCGAATATATTTAATATAAATGATCTACTGGTAATCTCGGAAACCTACTTGTAAACGAAAAATAAGCAAGCTAGTCGATTGTTGTAGCAAATACAAGTTTTATACTTCGACAATCCCACCACCGAATGTGATATGAGAAAATGCCTGGCTTTCCTTGAGATTCACACCTGTCCTGTGACCAAAGGGCATTCCTGGCTGTCTGGCTTGGTGGTTAACGTATCGAGATTATACGATGCACTATCAAAATCCGGGTTCGAGCCATGCTGCAAGTGGGAATGAGATTAATTCAGGCAAGGGCGATACTACTTGTGGAAAAATCCATCTACTATTCCTTCAACACCTTGACGAAATAGGTTACCTAAATCCCATTCAATGGTCGTTTATCTCTAAACTAATTGTAAAGAAAAAAAACAACTCAAATTGGCGAAGGTGAGACATTAGATGGCTTTTTGAGAGATAAGGCCAAGTGGGATTTCTATGCAATCCTGTTGCCATTCATCTAAATTTGGGAGAGCTGTATTTTTAGCCCTTTAATCACCTTTAACAGGTTAAACCAACTATTCATTGGCTTTTGTCTCTTCTGGTTTCCACAAATTATATTTTTCGCATTGACGTATCGTTTCGAGACTACCAGTAAATCAGTAGTATGAGATGTATTCACCTAATTTTGTTTAAGGTGATAAGGACTGGTAGAAGAAGAATTTTCCCACAATCATATGAGTTGAGCTGACGTTTCCATTGAATTTCACACAGCCTTGCTTTCCCAAAAGATGAGAACAACTTTTGGGAAAGCAAGGCTATGTTAAATGCAAGGGAAACGCCAGCTCTACTCATATTATTGTGGA